TCCATAAAGCATCAAAGCCATGACAAGAATATTGACCAGATACAACACCATCCCAAGCATATGATGAGCAGACAACCGTTGAAGATGAACGCATCCTCTTGGAAGAGTTCAATCTAAGGAACACAGAGCAAAGCAGAGGAAAAAACATTGACAATGCTGCCATCAATGTTTCTGTAGCCATGTATATCCTCTGTGTTGAATCTTGGTGTTTCAGACACATAGTCATCATGTATGATTCAAATGCCACCGGTGGTCATCATCAAGCCAAGATTAGTTCTCCTTTTCTCTAATTATTTCTACTTTGCCTATCAATAACTTGAATATAAACCCTATGATTAGTAACACCACCCCATACCAAAAAATAAATCTAGAAGCCTGATTATTCCTAACCTGTGCATAGATTCTCTCTAATATATCCATTATATCAAAAACACACAATAGTTATCACATTTGAATTAATAATGAACAATTTTATGTAGTTCCCATATCTGCCATGGGTATTTAGATAGCCATTACTAACTCGACATTAAACCACAACTAACTGCGTTATGCTCTGTTTAAGCACTATATTAAACCACTTAAATCAACACATGAAATTGTTTTAACTCACACTGGTCTTGCTCTCCTCCTCAGCAGGGTGCAAATGAAGCTCTTGACCCTTGGTGGAGCCTCTAATTGCATGGTCCATCCTGAGGAGAGTGGATGGGAAGACGGGACAATGAAATACTGATGGAGAAGACAGCAAAGATGAGAACCCTGGGATAAGATTGAAATATTTAAACTATTGTCTTATAAAATGAGTATCATTCAACTTCCAGGTAACCAAGGAAGTAGATATTATCTGCTATTGACACTATGTCCACTGTACACAAACAGCTGTATGCTGCCTCTTTCTCTTTGGATTACATATATTCAATGTACTAAGGTGTTTTTTGTTTGTTTGGTTTTTTGAGGCTTTTTTTTCTTTTGTTTATTTTTTGCTTTTGTTTTGTTTTGTTTTTTTTTTTTTTTTGGCCACAACACTCATGTTTGTAACTGAATAATGTTTCATCCACTTATCTGTTTTCTGTATTTATGGATATTCAGGGAGTTAAGAATATTCTGGAAGAGATGAACACAGAAAGAACATGGGCTGCAGGATGGAGCACAGAGACAGGCAGGTGTACATTATCCTGCACTGTGTGCCTTATCAATCCAGCCTTACTCTATCAAGTAACCTCTATTCACTCTCATTTTGGCTCTTGATTGAATCATTAACTCACTAGTAAAAATGGAAATTTTATTATTCTCCCAAATGCTGAACAGACTTTTTGTTCTGTATAAAAAAAAAAATCAATCCTGTATAAAGAATGAGTTCACATCAACCTGTCTTCTTCAATGAAGAGGCTGGGTTTATCAAGAAAGGGCAATTCAACATCATCATTGGTAATACTTGGCTTAGTGCAAGCACAGTTAAATTTCATTTTAATTGAATATATTCATTTGTGTTTATGAGTGTATCACCATGCACAGAGGTCAGAGTTGAACACATGGCAAATGTCTCTCTTAACCACCATGTGGGTATTGGGGCACAAAATTAGGTCAACAGATTTTGAGCAAGTGCCTTGATCCACTGAACCATCTCACTAGCCCAATATTACACACTTGTAACCAACCTTCACCAGACCACAAAAAACACAAGCCCACAAAAACACAAAAAACACCAGACCACAAAAAACAAAAAATACTCACATTGCCCTGAGTGACCACGGCCAATGCAGGAATCAACTCAAGAGCACCCATTCTGAGGAGCAAGGGAGAGAACAAGATTAAAAAAAAGGCGCTCTCCTTCAAGGGTCCTTGTTTACTTACTAATCTTTCACACTGGACCTTAGAGTTTCAGACAGGTATCAATCATCATTTCTTTCAAACCTTGGTAACTATCATCATTGGTCCAGAAAATGTTTGTTCTCGCCTCCACTGACACTGTTGACTGCCTAAGCCAATAGATCTCTAGCAATGCTTGTGATACACACACTACACAGGAGCATAGCTCTCTGACATATATATGCTCACATCAACATGCACACTTGTACTATTCACGATGCTCACATGTCATATATGCTTAGTATACAAGCCCATCGTCATCCCAAATGAAAGTATGAAAATGGACTGCTAGCATTATATTTCATGCTTTGCACAAATAAAGTGATGCCTACCAAAGCAGCCAAGACCCCAAAACATACCTTGATTCACTTAATGAACACACAGGGATCTGATGCCAGCTTACACAAGCACATTGGGAGGAAACAAACAAAAAGAAGATAAATGACTTTTAAAGGCAGGTAACAACCATGGCTTTCAACTTTGATTTAGAGAGCAATATATCTAATCTTTAACTAAATAATATAATTTATGTCTTAATAAAACAATCAAATTTAATTATGTCAAAGACTCAGAACAGAAAGTGTGGCTGTAAGGTGTACTGCATATATTATCCTTAAAGGAAGAGTAAGGGATGGCCCAATGCAAAAGTAGATACAGGTATTCTCATCACACATAAAAATAGTGTGGTAAGGAGTTATGACTAATGTTGGGGTCCATGTAGACATGCAAGCATGTTGTGGACAGAAGTGTACTTTTTCTTGTAGTTATACACAGTACAAGATGGATTGGTTCATATGAACTTTGTTTTGGTTTGGAGCATCATGAACTGTTTGGGGAATATGTGCTGTGAGAGTCTCTTAGGACACAAGAAGCTGAGTTTATATTATGCTTTGTCAACTTCATGATTGACATTTTAAGAAGATTAAAGAAATAAGGATGGTCATTTGAAATTTAGAATAGTGAAATGCTCAGTAATGACTTATAATATTAATACAACAAAATAAGTATAAATACAATGTACATATGCATAAATTAATTTGATGTTTCATACTTTGCATGTCTTGCATGTGTTATTGTGGAAAATGTCCATATTACACTACTATCTTTCTCAGCATAACCATGAAACGTTCAAAGAGACCCATCGTACCAGTATTTGGAGCCCACATGAGAATCAGGGTCTGTTGCTCTCAGCATCCATAGGCCCTGGACTGACACCATGGCATTCTGTGGATTCTCCACCTCTCCATCACTCCATCACAGCAAACTTGTACCACCGCTAAGGTCTGCTCACTGTTGGGTAGGAGGCAGAGAAGGGAATAGAAACATTTAGATTTTCTCTTCCTGCTCACACACAGTGTCTACCTCTCAGGGAAGCTGCGAACAGGCTTTCTCTCTAAAGGAGTGTGGGGCTTGAGTTCTAGTAGGATCACACCCTGAGGCTGAGCCAAGACATGGCAGAGCACAGTGTCCACTTCTCCCGACTCTGAGTAATATTACCCAATAGCTGCAGCCCAAGAACCACATGTCCACAAGGGACAGGAATATGCCTATGGGCCTCCATCCACAGCTAAGCACATTCAGGTGGTCATCGGGAATGACCTCAGATTTCTGGATACCAGGCGTTCATCGAGTATCACTCAACGCCACCAGATCTCATCATCGGTCGTGGATGGTGCCCCCTCTCTCCCTGATCTGCTACAAGGCTGCATTTCTTGGGCGTTGAGGGCGAAGCTCAGATCTCAGAATGAGAGATTCTGCTGGGTTCCAACCCTTCCAAATTCCCCTTAAAACAAGGACTAAGCAATTACATCCTGGACTCTTCTAAGGCAAAAATAAATAAATAAATAAATAAATAAATAAATAAATAAATAAATCAATAACATTCAGGCCCATACCTGGAAGTTGGTGCAAAAGGCAGGTCACAAGGCCGTCTCTCAGTGCACTGGGCTTTGGGCGTTCATGGTGTCACAGTAGTGGTGGTGCAGACATCAGCACCTTGGCACCATCAGTCGGGTGAGTCTCACTGAGGGTTCAGAGCAGAAAAGGACAGACAAGGTTGAGACCCTGTAGGTCACCACTCCATTCCCTATGCAACTCCTAGACCACACCAAATATCTCTCTGCACGGGGATCACTAATAACATGCCATTTTCAAGGAACCATGGCTGTGCTATCCTAAGTCAACTGTGGTGGCTTACTTGGGTCCTTATGTCTTGTCCCCTCATCAAATTACAAGCCCTGGGGGGACGACGCAGCTGAGATTTCTCAGTGCTCAGGACCATGTCTGCACCAGGCCACTCACACCCTCTTTGCCTAGCTGCCAGCCATGTTTCCTTGGAGAATGGACTCTAATATCCTTCCTGTATGGGTCCTGGTCACTCAACCAAGGACCCACCGACCCAGAGGTCAGTGCAGACTATACAAGGGAGATTCCTCCGGTCCTGACCTCAGATATCTGTTAACATGGCTGTCATGGAGAAACACTCAGACGCCACCAGATCTCATCATCGGTCCCCTGCTGGCTGCTGTGTCTGAAGCCATCGGGATCCGCTCTCACTCACTGTTCAGTGTGGAGCACTCGGGAGGCCACACTCCATGAGCCTACTCTGTTCTGGGCCACCTGACCTCCTGCTCTTGCAGCCAGCATAGAGCTCACTATTTACTGCACAGTGCCTAACCGGGAGCCTTTCGAGGAGACCATCTTACCTGTCTTGTGGTGCCCACTGGAGGATCGGGGCCCGTTGCTGTCAGTCCCCATGGTGGTCCGGGAAGTCTCCATCTCTCCATCTCCGCAACCTGGCACCACCGCTAAGGTCTCCTCACTGTTGGGTAGGAGGCAGAGAAGGGAATAGAAACATTTAGACTTTCTCTTCCTGCTCACACACAGTGTCTACCTCTCAGGGCACCTGTGAACAGGCTTTCTCTCTAAAGGAGTGTGGGGCTTGAGTTCTAGTAGGATCACACAGAGGGTCACCCTGAGGCTGAGCCAAGACATGGCAGAGCACAGTGTCCGCTTCTCCCGACCATGAGTAATATTACCCAATAGCTGCAGCCCAAGAACCACATGTCCACAAGGGACAGGAATATATCTATGGGCCTCCATCCACAGCTAAGCACATTCAGGCGTTCATCGGGAATGACCTCAGATTTCTGGATACCAGGCGTTCATCGAGTATCACTCAACGCCACCAGATCTCATCATCGGTCGTGGATGGTGCCCCCTCTCTCCCTGACGTGCTGCAAGGCTGCATTTCTTGGGCGTTGAGGGCTAAGCTCAGACCCTTCCAAATTCCCCTTAAACCAAGGACTAAGCAATTACATCCTGGACTCTTCTAAGGAAAAAAATAATCCCTAATAGTCAGGCACATACCTGGAATGTGGTGCAAAAGGCAGGTCTCAAGGCTGTCTCTCAGTGCACTGGGTCCTGAGCGTTCACGGTGCCACATTAGTTGGGTTCAGACATCAGCAGTTTGTCACCATCATTCGGGTGTGTCTTCCTGATGGGTTCAGAGCACAAAGGGGTAGGCAAGGTTGAGACTCTGTACGCCATCTGTCCCTGCCTTTTGTAAGTCCTGAACTGCACCTAATTTCTCTCTGCACTGGTTCCCAAATTTCTTACTACTTTCAATGGAAGTCAACTATGAATGCTACTTAGGTCAGTGTCTCTTCTCCTTTTATGAATTCACATGCCTGGGCGAAAGCCCCAGCTGAGATTTTCTCTCCCATGGAAAATTTTACATTTCAATTTTTTTTGCTGTACTTGCTTAGAGTCAGCCATATTTACTTTGCTCATAGTCATTACTGTGTTTCCCAGATTTTTTTTTTTTTTATTTTGGACAGGTCTACAATTTTCTTAAGGTGAATTGTTTGTGACTGACCTCAGATATCTGTTCTCATGGCTTTCATGGAGAAACACTCAGATGCCACCAGATCTCATCATCGGTCAGTGCTGTTTGCTCTGTGTGCATCCCTGGTAAGTATGTTACTCGGGAGGTCACAGTTCAGGTGTCAACTCTGAACTGTGATATTCTATTATCTACTCCTCCAGGCAATGGTAAGTTCCTTATATCTACACAATGCCTTACTCTGGAGGACTGTACATAGGCTCCATACGTGTTTTGAAGAGCTTACCATAGGATGAAGGCTCCCACTCGGGCAGTGGATTGACTTCATTCTTCTCTTGACATCTTAAGCACTGTGTGTCTTTTCTGCCTTTGCGTTTAGGGATGCTGCATTTAAAAATTGGAAAATGCAGTGTAAATATTAATACTTTCTTCTTTGATGGACCCCTACTTCTTCTTTTTTGCTTTGGTTTGTGTGTGTGTGTGTGTGTGTGTGTGTGTGTGTGTGTGTGTGTGTGTGCGTGCGTGTTTGTTAGTGTTGACTGCCCTCTAATCCACAGTGCATTTAAGCTGAAACTTTGATGGAAGCATGGCTCATCATTTTCTTTGCTACCGTGTATTAAAGGTGGTTACTTATTTCCATCCTTCAAGTCCTCATAGAATTCTCCTTCTCTAGCATTTGCTACCATTGCTCTGTACTATTGTAGCATCACTGTAGCTACCTTTCCTCCATTCACTCTGGTCAATTCTGTGCATGCACCCTCTTCACTTTAGATAATGTCAAGTGCATGGGCTTTTCCTGCATAGGCCAGTATCCCCAACTTGACACAGTAGGCTGCCATTTTCCCTGGCCCACCAATTCTATATTCCTTTATTCATCAATGGGCATTCAAAGGCCAACATAATATATCATAACATTCAGAGTGATCCCCTTTCTGTTCCATCTATCTTGAATCATTGATTCATATGAAGTGATTTTTCACCAACATATTAAAATGTATGTTAATTACCCTCCAAACTGTAAAGTCTTAATGAATCACAGATACAATATTAAAGACTGCTTCCCATTACAGTCAGCATACATTTCTTCCATAGGAATCATATTAACAGTGGGTTGCTTGGAAATCTAATTTCATGACACTTATGCAGATAGCAGGCTCCTACAGGAGGACTTTGCAGCTCAAGTCTTTTCTTCAGGTCTAAACAACAATGTCACTGCAGACTGCTGTGCATGGACACATCTGTTAGTCCATTTGAAAGCATTTTTTAAGTTGTATAGACCACATTAATGTACCCTCCATTTTTCTCTATTCTTGCTTACATTGAGTTATTTAGTTGTAATAGCATAATTTATAAATTACTCCTATTATCTTTTATGTATTCACTACTGCAGACTAACCAAGACATTATCTGTAATTTACCCTGTTCCATCTTTACACTGAATTATGACTACATGACCCTTGCTTCTTTTTGAAAATAATATGTTTATATACCCCTGGGCAATTTTCCTTGCTCCTCATGTTTATAATTGGAGGACTCCACCCTCTTTTTTCTTTGTACTTTTCCATGGTCAGTTTTTGGTAAAATAGGTATGTAAGCAGTGAATATCTGCCGCCACATGGATCTCCATGTCTAACACACAAGTATCACTCTGGAATCAAATAAATTCTCTTCATCATCTATATATTTACTTTAATATTGACTGTTAATTTAATCATTTTTTCACTAGCAATTATGGAAATCTCTATTATCCTTCAAAACACTGCAAGAGGCTGGAAGCTTCTCCTGTACAAAGAAAAACTCACACCAATTCTCCTTCAGTGATGAGCCTTGGTTTTTATAAGCATACCCAATTCAATATTCTAATTAATGATAATTTAATTTCATTGATCACATTTTTGTAATGAAATCATATTTCACATTAATTTTTATGCATTTATTTCTCTGTGTTGGGCATAGGATGGGAAAGTAATAGAACTTTAGGGCTCTATGTATTCACCTAAGGCTTTTGAGCTGACCCACCACACTGGCCACTGTGTTAAATAACACAGTGAGTAACTTTGCACAAACCACCTGAATCATGTCAATACTATCCCCTGGCCCACACATTGGTTCTAAGCTCTAAACACAGATAGGCAACTGGTCATCTGGTGACCACGGAAGATGGTGTGATCACCTTAGGAATGCGGTAAATGAGCAAAGGCTGAAACAGCACACACTGTTCCCTAAGTCTCACTATCCATTCTTCTTTGTGTTGCACCTCCAAGTTCCAGATACCTGGTCCACTTTCCTTATTTCTGGTCTTATGATGGCTTAATACTAGATAAACATAAAATGTTTGTGCTTTGTGTTAATTACTATTTGTCAGTTTATAGGTTGTGGACTTCAAATTAAACACATACAAATGGTGCATAATAGTATTATCTATTGATTTCATCACTAAACAATTCTTTTAAAAAACATTCTCAAATCAATGTGTTTGCTACAATAATAAATCTGTTTTCTACGTGTGTGATTCTACTTGATACTTCACATGAATTGGAGGAGAGATTTCATGTGGTGAGATTTCACACTATTTGTTCATGCAAAGAAAAATCTTTAATGCCATCCACACAATGAAAAATTTAACTACTACTTACATATGTCCCAAGATCTAACCTAGAGATATGCCCCCTGGGTATAACAATTCTGGGGAGAAAAGTACAGACAAGGAATAAAAAATGACCCTCTCTTCCACAGATCCTCACTTACGCATTCATCATTTATGTTGGAGCTCAAGAGTTTCAGACACAAGCCATTTGTCATCTGAGACTCATATACTGGCAGCTGTGATCACTGATATGGGGGCAGACCAATTTTTCTTCATTCTTATCTGCAGTGATTGGTGAGTAATCCATTAACTCACTAGTGATGCATCTTGAAGCCATATACATACATACATACATACATACATACATACATACATACATACAATTTGGAATGTAATATCTACAGCTTTTGGCTTTTTACTATGCACTAGACCTGTTTCTGAATGTTTTAAAACAGAGAGTAACCTGTCCACGACAAACAATACAAGATCTTTACCTATTATTCACTCTGATTTCACGATTCCAGTGAGAACTAAAAGATTGAGCACACACCATGGAGAATTCCAGCCCCAGCTCAAATGATTTCATTGGGAAGAGCATAGAGAAAAGGAGATAAAAAGAAAGAAAACAAAAAGCTGGAACATTCTTTTTCACAGAGCTTTGATTTTTAGCAATGTTTCCTGAATTGATTTATTCACTCACTAATTTAATGATGCGTGCTTCTACCTTCACAAAAGATATAGAAACAATTTAATTTAAAAACAAATTTAAAATAGCCCCACATACAGGAATACAGAATTGAACATCTAATGTCTATGGTAACTGCGGATGGATGCCTGAGAGTTATAGTTATTGCCCGCTGTGCTTTACTGTTTTGACAACAACATATCAAAGTGCTCCTCATGCACTTCATGTTTGTATTTGACTAGTGTACCAGTTGGTTGAATTATATTTCTACTGCTTAATTATTTGACAGAATCAACATATATCCAGCCTCAGGGCCCTGAGACATTCCTAAATATATCTAGAGCAATGGTTCTCAACATTCATAATCATGTAACTCTTTAATTCAGTTTCTCGTGTTGGGCTGACCTGAATTGATCAACAATTTTTGTACTTCAGAACTGCAATTTTGCTACTGTTATGAACCATAATATAAATATCTGATATGCACAATATCTGATACATGCCTCCAAAGGGGGTTGGGACCTACAGGCATTTCAAGGCATATCAGATACATGATCCATGTAATTCAATCTCCAAAGGACTGATGGATCACAGGGTGGTCTAGGGGATGTCTTCCACAGAGAAAATGGATTATTCTACATTCTAGTTGTCTATTACAGTGCAGATATGTTTCATGCAATAAATAAGTGAGGTCCACTCTCAGGACCTGCTTTCATCACTGGTTTGTGTATTGGACTATTATTTTTTATTTGAAGTTACTAATTAAGGCACAGAAATAAAATAGCCCAATTCACAAAAATAAACATTATGTTTAAGCAACATCTGTCTGCAGAATCCTATTCACTTGAGACTTTTATCTTTCTTTAACTGGCCTCAATGTGGAACAGTGATCAGGAATCACAACTGACATCAATCTCAAATTAGGCTACAATCAAACTTTTCTTCAGATCACCAGTGCCCCATGCCTGTATCTATCACATTCCTTTATCCACTCATCAGATAATGGCTACACAAATGTGTCCCATCTTGGCACCTGTAGATAGCACTGTAGGGAAAGGGAAATTGCAGTTGTCTCCTTGAACTGTTTTATTT